TTCAAATTCTGCTGTAGGTAGATCAAGATTTCCTTGTCAGTTTTTTTATGGTCACGTTTTAACATAAAAAAACCGTTTGCCACAAACCATACCTAAGACAGAGAGAGCCGGTATACAGAAATCCGTTTTTTAAAACTATATATATTTTTTTTAAGTTTTTGATCGCCTTATTCCAATGTATTTTGACTGTGTAGGCTAAGTCTGTGGCAAAATTATTTCAAGTAATTTTATTCCTGTTTGCTTTAACCAATTAGGGTAACATAAATTTTGTTTTAGAGTTGAAGTTGTGCTTTTACCTAAGTATTTAATTTCTCCTTGGGCCAGAAAATTTGTTTTGTTTTTTATTAAAATTAAAGGCAAAGGTGTTTTTTAAGTTTTCTTATATTTTAAACGCTTTTTCTATTGATCGGGGCCTTCTAAAAAAGAGACATGTTTCCTTTGCATATTATTAAACTTTTAACTCTAATTTTGAACCTGGAATGCCGTCATTTGTTATTTTTAATCTCTTGTGCTATCGTTTAGCGCAGTATAGCATAAATGATATAGAGTCGCCCAGCTTTTCTTCATCAATAGTGATCAGGCAGCTTTTAACATTTTTTCATGTGTGTAGTGAATTTTTTTTTACAATAAAAATATACGGAATTTCTTTCTTTCTGGTACCAAGAACGATTGCGAGGGCGCGAGTTAAAGTTGCAGCACATTTGAGACTCACGGCTATTCTTTTTATTCGGGATTTTACAATATCTCACCATTAATTGTTATTTTAGTATTTAAACATTTTATTTTTTTGCTTTTAAATGTCCGTTTTTTTTTATTTTGAAGGTTTTAGTCGTGTAAAACTTTGGTATAAGGATGCCAGTATATCGGCCCCCTTTGTTAGTTTGTTTAGACATTATTTTGCAAAGTGCTGCGTCATGATTACTTAAATGATTTTTCACCGACGCGCTCTTGAAATTACTAATCATATAATAAGAGGTATACATGCGGGCTAACCGTATTTAAAACGTTTTATCTCCAGAATTATCAGGAGTTTTTTTAATTTTTTTGCATTTTCCGGACAATTATATAGTTTTTCGGAAAGACTATTTATAAAATTCTTATTGTTACAATCATCAAATGAAACAGTAACAAGTGTATTTAAAAAGTAAATGTTTTGTCCGTAAATTACGGAATGTTATATTAGGTTAATAAAAAGAATAAAAGATTTCCCTTGCAGAGTATATCAAAAATTAAAAAGAATTTTATTAAATGTTTAATAAAAATCTCAGCGCAAAAGAGCGAACGATCGTGTCAAACTTTTCCCTTTTTTGGAAAAATTATAAAATTACATTTTTTTAATAGCTCTTTTAGCTATAAGCAAAGAGTCTTCTTTTTTTAAAGTTTTTCAACTTATTTTAATAAATAAATCACTTTGCTTATAAATAGAAACTTTTCTCAGTTTGTTTGTTGGTGGTTCAAAATTTATTGCATCATAATTTCGTTTACTGTCCAGTTTACCTACCGTTGCAAGACTCTTTCGTACACACTTTTAGACTTTAAAAAAGCTAAAAAAATTTTCAAGGAGGTTTAATGTGACATAAAGAATATTCACAATTTTTTAATTTATGTTTATTTCGATTTGGAAGGCATTGTTTTGTATAACCCCTATAAAAGGTTTTCTGTATTTTTAAATTGCGGCCCTAAATTTTTTCAATTATTATAAAACTATCATCGCGATACAAGCCTTGGTGATTAAAATAAACTATTTCAGCTATGGAATCTAACATATAACCCTACAAATTCGCAAATTTCTGCTCTGTGGGCAGCTTCCAATTTTTACAATTAGTAGTAACTACCCCGAATTGGTAGTAACCACCCCAATCCCTATATAATTTTTGTTCTAACGGGCCTGTTCTGCATGCACTTTCGTAAGTAGTACCTTGCGTTTGTTTAAATTAATTTGTCAGAGAAACTAAGGAATGTGAGTACTAAAATAAATTTATTTAAAAGTATGTTTGCATTTGACGCTTGCTTGTTAATATTCAAAAATATCATGATTACTTAAATGATTTTTTACCAACGCGCTCTTGACGCGTTGGTGAAAAATCTAACATTATAATAAGAGGTATACATGCAGGCTAACCGTATTCAAAATGTTTTATCTCCAGGATTATCAGGAGTTTTTTTAATTTTTTTGCATTTTCCGGACAATTATATAGTTTTTCGGAAAGACTATTTATAAAATTCTTATTGTTACAATCATCAAATGAAACAGTAACAAGTGTATTTAAACAGTAAATGTTTCGTCCGTAAATTACGGAATGTTATATGAAGTTAATAAAAAGAATAAAAGATTTCCCTTGCAGAGTATATCAAAAATTAAAAAGGATTTTTTTAATGTTTAATAAAAATCTCAGCGCAAAAGAGCGAACGATCGTGTCCAACTCTTCCTTTTTTTGGAAAAATTATAAATTTACATCTTTTAAATAGCTCTTTTAGGTATAAGCAAAGAGTCTTCTTTTTTTAATGTTTTAAAACTTTTTAAAATAAATAAATCACTTTGCTTATAAGTAGAAACTTTTCTCAGTTTGTTTGTTGGTGGTTCAAAATTTATTGCATCATAATTTCGTTTACAGTCCAGTTTACCTACCGTTGCAAGACTCTTTCGTACACACTTTTAGACTTTAAAAAAAAAATTTCTAGGAGGTTTAATGTGACATAAAGAATATCCACAATTTTTATTTTGATTTGGAAGGCATTGATTTGTATAAACTCTATAAAAGGATTTCTGATTTTTTAAATTTGAGGCCCTAATTTTTTTCAATTATAATTAAACAATCATCGCGATACAAGCCTAGTTGATTAAAATGAACTATTTCAGCTATGGAATCTAATATATAACCCTACAAATTTGCAAACTTCTGCTCCGTCGCAGCTTCCCATTTTTACAATTGGTAGTAACTACCCCTAATTGGTAGTAACCACCCCTTCCCCTATATAATTTTTGTTTTTACGGGCCTGTTCTGCATGCACTTTCGTAAGTTAGTACCTTGCGTTTGTTTAAATTAATTCGTCAAAGAAACTAAGGAATGTGAGTACTAAAATAAATTTATTTTAAAATATATTTTCATGTCAAATATCGAACTGAATATCGATAAGTTCGAAATTCAGTAAAAATATATCCAGTTTTAATATCGAAGTTCGATACTGTGTTTATGTAATATCGTAGTATCGACAATATCGACTTTTATGAATATCGCAATAGCTTTATATATACATATATATATATATATATATATATATATATATATATATATATATATATATATATATATATATATATATATATATATATATATATATATATATATATATTTGTATGTATTGAGTGATTTAGCATTTTAAAGTTTTTCGCTTCTAAATTTCATATTCATAAAAGCGTTTTGGTCCTTCTCAAGGTGCAGATTTTTTTTTAATAAAGAGATTTGTAAACTTTTCAAACGGTTTTCATTATGTTTGTTGTGTCGGCATAGGTCTTGTCCCCGCTTTTAATTTTTTTTAATGGTTTTTTTTTAATTTGGTTACTTTTTTCAATTTGGAATAACGCTTTGGAAGGGTTTTTCTTTTTTTTTTTCGTTTTGTTCTAAAAAAATTTGTTTAGTTTTTTTAAAAATTCCGCTGTTTTTATAAATCACTTTTTGGTCCTTACAACTGCTTCATTTTTTCGTTCTTACTAATTGGTTTGCTCTTTTCTGATTCTGTTTCTTTTTTTTGAATTACTTTCCCGTTTCTTTTTCCTCTCTAATTAAATTTTGATATTTTGATTGCAATATCTTTAATTCTTGTATTTATAAAATACATTATTGGTTGTTATTTGCGTATTTATATTGTCACGGGTGCTTTGGTTAATGCTCGAAACACTTGAAATTGAAAAAGTTTTTTTTCTTTGTTAATTTCTTTGATAACTTGAAATATTTTTAAGAAACTTAAAATTTAAACAAAAGTAAAAATAATAAATTATTTCTCTTACGTAACTATTCCGTTATCACCTTCGATATCTCTTGATTCGCCCATATTGTCGTACCAATTCTTTTTCGAAACATTGTTCTATGTAGTAAATTTTTGAATCGATTCTTTGTTTACTTTATAAAATATCGTCTTCTTTTTTATTTTTCTCTCTTCTTGTCTTTTAGTTTCTTTTTTTCGTGGTCTTCTGAGTTCTCTAAAATCAATGTCCTCAGTAGACACAACAATTTGATCTAAAAGTGTCTGTTCACACGCCCTCTGTTTTTTATAATTTATATATATATATATATATATATATGTATATATATATATATTTATATATATATATATATATATATATATATATATATATATATATATAAATTTATATCCGGAAATAGACGGAATTCCATTAGAGTTTACACAGAAAATTGGGACATCTACGGTGAAGAACTCACTAACATTAACGAAAACAGTTTTAGTCAATAAAAAAACGAACTCTCTTGAACGCAGAGGAGAGCACCAATTAGTCTTCTACCCATAGAAAGGCGATTTAAAACTAATTTAAAATATGCAACCCATATTGTGTGCGCACTAAAAAATTATAAAATTATTATACTACAAAAGCCCTAGCGTTAAGAGTATTAAAAGTCTTAAATTTTATACTACACACTCAAAAAAAAAAGGTATAATACAGGTATCTCATCCAACCCGAGGGTAGAAAATAATATTTTGAGGGTAGACAAATCTTCTCTTAAGTTTAATTGGGAAAAAAAGGAAGAAAATTCTACCTACGCATAGTTTTCTACCTTGATGTTAGATGTCACCAAAATGCGGCTCGTAAACCCTAAAAATATCTTACAAATTAAAAAGCTCCTACCCAAAAGACAGACGACGTAAATAATAAATAAAAAATAACATAGTTCTTAAAAATATATATATATTATATAAATATGTATATCTATATACATTTTTTTTTCCAGTAAAAAACTAAAAGCTAAACAACTTAGAAATACTTTTTTACATTTGTTATTAACAGATTAATAGCAGCATCCGGTTTCAAGGATGCATGCGGCATTTAAAGTTAACTGTTATAAACTACTTTTGCAGATTTTGAACTGCGTGGACTATTATTATATTATAGTATGGACTATTATTGTCAAGTCGAGTTCTGTAGAAAAGGGTTTTACAATGCACGAGGATTAATCAATCATATGATGTTGCAGCATAGTCATGAAAAACAACTGAGTTTGTCGTGTAGTTTAGATAGTTGTGGTTATCGTTATAACACTGTTAATACCTTTAGGTGTCATCTTTTCAAATTTCATGCGTCTCATCTTGTTTCCATAATTTCCGATAAACTGACTGATCTATCTGAAATTACATGCGAACATACAGAAGAAAGTGATAGAGAAGAAAATATCGTGGAAAAGGAAACAGAGAACATTACCATTATTGAGAGTGTAGATGAAAATGCCAATAAACTTAATACAGAGTTTTCTGATTTTTTAAAATGTTTTGGAAATAATGTATGTATAGCACAGCTACAATTGCGCGAAAAACACATGTTACCTCTTTCAGCAGCTTCTGATATATGTGATATGGTTAAATATTTACTTGATTTGTTTCAAAACAGTTTTGTATCATTAATAAGACAAAGGCTTAAGGTACTAAATATTGAATCAGATGACGATTCTGTGTTGAACCAAATATTAACATTTTCCTCAATTTATGACAGAGTGTCCCAATTATTTGCAACAGATCATCTTAAAATGTTATATATGCTAAATAACCTTGAATTTGTTCCACCAAAAGAACTTGACATGCCAGCTAATGAACTTCACCAGTTTAATGAAAGTGTTGATGGTTCTAACAATGAAATAAGCAGTGAAATATTGTCGCCACCTCTTATAACAAACACAGGTAATAATATTTTTGCAAAAAAACATGAAAAAAAAAAAAAAATCAGTCATTATATTTCAATTCTTCAAACTTTAAAAAACTATCTTCAAAAAGATGATATATGGGCGAGCTGTGAACGAAATCGTCTAAAACCAGTTGAAAATGATGGCATTATACGAGATTACTCTGATGGCACACATTTTAAATCATTAAATGTTAATAACAATAAATTTATACGTTTACATTTGTATAATGATGAGCTAGAAATATGTAATGCACTAGGAAGCAGACGGGGTACTCACAAGATTTAAATTTTTTATTTTTTAGTTGGGAATATTGACACTCATTTATGGACAAATCTCGATCACATTCATTTAGTATTAGTTGCCCAATACAGTGCTGTCAAAAGGTTTGGATATGATAAAGTTCTAAATAAACTTATGCATGATGTGAAATTGCTTGAAATATATGGACTTGATTTAAATATTGATGGCAGTATTGAACATGTAAATGGTTCTATTGTACCATTCTCTGGTGATAACTTATCCTCTCATTCTTTTGGTGGTTTTTCTACTTGCTTTTCATCTGGCAGAATTTGTCGCCACTGCATGGTTTCGTTTAGGTTTCTTTCAGATGTTCATTCAGAATCTTCGTGTCAGTTGCGAACAATAGATTTACATAAATATCATGTTCAACAAGTGAAGACTGATAAGTCACTTGGTGCTGTATATGGTGTTCTTTCTCGTTGTTCTTTATCTAGTTTACAATATTTCGATGCAATTGAATGTTTCCCACCTGATTTTATGCATGATGGACTTGAAGGACTTTTGAGTGTTAATTTTTCAATTGTTGTTAGAAATCTTATCAAAGAAAAACTATTCACTATTGTTCAATTAAAAGAAGAAATCGCAAAATTCAAGTATAGCATTCCAGATAGTTGTGATAAACCTGCTGTATCATGTATTCCAAATAATTTGGGAACAACCAATAAAAGAATCCATGGAAAAGCAGTAGAGAGATGGTCGCTATTTCATTTTTTGCCAGTTTTTGTCAGTTGCCTAGTAAAAAATCCTGATATACTCCTTAATAATAATTTTTGGCAGCTTCATTTGCTTTGTCGACAGATAGTACAAATCATTTTGGCTCCAGAAATTGATATAAATTGGATACCTATTCTTGAGCATCTCATTCAAAGACACCATTCTCTACTTGAATGCATTAGTCCTGTTTCATTTATACCTAAAATCCATTATTTAGAACATTATCCTTGATTACTATTACATTTTACACCTCTGCGACACCTCTGGGTAATGAGATTTGAGTCTAAACATCAATATTTTAAACAGATTGCACGCCGTGTAAAAAATTTGAAAAATATAACATTCACTTTGACACAACGACATGAAATGCGTAAGTGTGTTACAAATTTCGGAAGAAGCCCATATGTTAAGGATCCAGAAATTTTAGGTTGTCAGAAAATTTTATCTATAAGTTCAATTCCATTTGAACTTATAGATGCTATTAAAAATAGGTTTGGTAACACCCATCAAATAAATGGAGCTGAGCAGTTTATATCCACTACTAAACTTAGAATTAATGGACAGGTTTTTTATACAACAACGTCTATTATTTGTCAGAAAAAAGCTAGCAATGACATGCCCCTATTTGGAAAAGTTAAATATATATTATTGTTTCAAGGAACATGGATTATTTGCTGTGTTTTGCAAATAGCAAAAGAATATATTGAATTTGCTGATTTTTATACTATAGAGTGCTCTGACAATTGGGTTGTAGTGATACCTGGAGAACATGCCAATCATTCGTCCCTGGGATCCTATTTTGTCAATAATCAGGAAGGCATTTTGTTTCGTCATCGCGTATGCATAGAAGAGAAATGAGAAAATCGAACCTTTACTATATATGAAATTTTATTTCCAACAAAAATATTTGTTTTGATACTTTTGGTTTTGCATACATATCTTAATTTACTTCAACTTGTATTTAATTAGTTTGTTTACACTGTTTATTATTTACCAGTTTACTCAAGTTCTTATTATTAAACACTGTTAAGTATCTGAAAACTTTTCAAATATCTTTTTTAATTATTATTTGATCTTATTAAAATTATATTAAATTATTATTTGATTTTATTAAATCTTATTAAATATCTTATTAAATTATTATTTGATTATTAAATCTGAAAAAAAAATTTTTTTAAATGTTATATATTTTTATTTGTCTTAGTTTTTTTTATTTGAATTAAAACACTAAACAAATTGGAAATGCCTCTTTTCAAGATATGGTCAGGTGATCGCTTAGTAAAAAAGGCAATTATTGCTGAATATTTTGATATGCTGGTTGTAAAGGGTAAGAAATTTAATATAATAAATTATTAGTAGTATTCTTGTGAAGAGCTAGCCCAGTTTAAAAAAAAAAATTAAATTAACTCCTAATTTTTAAATTTTTATTCCAGTGTTAGAGAAATTCCAGTTTTCCTCAGCTAAAATTGTTTTAAATATTGATGGAACAGAAATAGAAGAGACTGATGTTTTACTCAGTCTTTCGGGTGAAGTGCTACTCGCTCTTCGTGATGGTGAAGATTGGGAATTGTGTAGTAAGTTGTTATTATTAAGGGTAACATTTGTACATTTTCTCATTACAATATTGTTACAGTCTTAAAAGGAATTTTCAAAAAGGCACGTTAATTAAATTTGTTTTTGTATTACCAAGTTATAGGCTTAGTAGAGGGTTGTATAAACAAACCTCTTTTTGATTTTGTGTTTGCAAAATTTAAGCCTTTACAGCTAAGAAGTTCCATCTGGTCAGAAACAATTTTTGTTTCAGAGAAAAATCTAAGTAAATTTAAAAATTTATTAAAAAAGCTGTAAGTTATTTTAATCAATAACAAATAAATTGTATTGCACAATTTATAACTTACCATACATATAGAATTTGTATATGCATGGTAAATTATGAATAAATCATTTATTGCAAAATAGTTATATTGCATAGGTTCTGTAGCTGCAACAACGTCTCCTGATACTTTGCCAATGTTTCCATCACCACTTTTACTGTTACAAGAAGATCAATCTAGTAGCACTGAGCATATGCCTGGATTACAACAATTCCCAATAGTATACTGTTTGCCCAAGCTTCCAAAGTCCTTAAAAGCAGCACTGGAGAAAGCCAGCTATAAAGCAGATCTAGATATGTCCAGTGAGCGGCAGTTAATTAGAGTTGTTTATGACGATCTTCTGCAATATTCATTGTAAGGATTAGTAACACATGTTTCTAACATGTAACTGTTGTATTATACATATATATATATATATATATATATATATATATATATATATATATATATATATATATATATTTATATATATATATATATATATATATATATATATATATATATATATATATATATATATAAATATATATAAATTTTACAGAAACAAATTTCTCAATTTTAGGTATCCAACTTCTCAGATGTATCAGGCAGTGTGTCAAGCTATTGTGCAAACCTATCCAAAGTTACAAGATAAAATTGTATTTTTACGTCAAAAGGCATCAAAGCCATACGTAAGTGTAAAGTTGTGTTTTTATTTTGTATAAAGCTTATATATAAAAATAAATGCTGCTTAAAAAACCATTAGAACTTTATAACCAATATTTGTATTTGGAATATATGTATATATGCATGTATATATATATATATATATATATATATATATATATATATATATATATATATATATATTTCAAATACAAATATATTTATATATAGATAGATAGATAGATATTTATTTATTTATTATAAGGCAACTTGGCTAGATAAGGCAACTTGGCTAGACAGCTTAAAAACAAGATTTAAGTCTGAAAGGGCAAAAATGCATAATTTGTCATTAGTACATGAGCACAAAAAGTTTGGTTCAAAGCTGAAAAGAAAAGAAATTTTTACCGATTATGCGGTAACTCCAAAACAGAAGCGTTCAGAGGTTAGCAACTCGATTATCTTAATTCTGTATATATTAATATTTTGTGCGATTTAAAAGTATTTAAAAAAGCATTTAATAAGTAAAATTTTTCTAAAATTTTATTTAAGTTGCAAACAAACAATATGGAGGACTTGCTACTCTGTAGTGCTCATAAAGTAACTATGTCAAATGAATTAAAAAAAACTTTTCCTGATTTGGCAAAGGTAAGAGATAGAATGGCAAAGACTTTCGTGCACAGAAGGAGAGTTATTCTTAATTCCACCGCGACACAAATATTAGAAGAATATCCTGCTTTGAGGATTGCTACAGAGGTTTACCGTCACAAACATTAAATTTTATTCAAATCAATAGGGAAAATAAATAATAAATTTTAATTTGTAAATTTTTATATAATAATTATGTTTTATAGTTGTTAGAAGAAGTACATATGATAACTGAAAACGATGGAATAGCTAAAATAAACCAGTTCTTTACAGCTTAAAGGTCCATAACAATTCTAGAGATGGTCAAGTCAGGGAAAACCAAAGCCAAAAACAACGACTTATTCAATAGTATTATAGCGGCTATAGGATATGAGTCGAATATCAATATGGAAGGTTATCATCTGTGTTTTATTTAATTATTCACTTAGTGATTATTTGTTTTTTTGTTTCACAAACTTTTCCAAATATTTTTAGCACAAAAAATTAAAGCATCTATGTTGTGCTTGCCTGCCGTGTTTGGTGAAGCTATTGAAAGATGGATCACGATAAATAAGGTCTCATACATGCTTACAAGATCCACTTTTTATGATAAATAAAAAATGTTGCCTACAGGCAACTTTTATGTTTTTTTAAACATTTGATTGTTGTTGAATTTGATTGTAAATTTTCAAAATATAATTTTTCCATCTAATTGATTATAGCTTTTTTTTAGGAATCAATTCTGAGCACACCAAATTTAACAATAACTTGTTTAAGCCAAGGAAATATTCTGCATTTTGAAGATGTGCATATTGCTATTTATCTCGATGGTCAAGTTGTTTGTAACGTTCAAAACATCGATGAAGCAATCAAAGTGTTAATAGCGTGTTATTGGGTTTTTGAGATAGCTTTTGATCCGCAGCTGCAAAAAACATTGACATTTCTTGCGAACTATGTTTGTGGGCTTAGCGAGTACAATGTTAATCCTCCGATTCAGCGTTTGCTGAACAAATTGTTGTAAATTAAACGCTGCTCACAAAATTAAATAGCTTTTTTCAATAATGTGTTGTTTTCCTTGCGTTGTAAAATATCAAATGCCATCGCAATCACCCATCAAAATTTACAAAAACCTAAAAAAAAGTATGCTTTTAAGGGTGGAAAGGAAAACCTTTTGCAAGGGTAGAAAAAAGTACCTTTATAATATTCTACCTTAAAGGGTAGGATATATGATATACCTCTTATGGTAGAAAAATCTACCCTTTAAGGTAAATTTGTCTACCTTGCTTAAGGTAGAAATTTATACCTTGTGGTGTTTTTTTCTACCTCATATAAAGGTAGATTAAAATACCTTAATATGTAGGGTATTATTTTCTACCTTAAGGGGTAGGATATGTGATATACCCTTAAAGGTAGAAATTTCTCCCTTTTTTTTTTTAGTGTGTTGGATCGTTTTAAAGGTGTTCTGCCCCGGAGAAATACATCTTTTCGAAATTATTTCAAAATTGTTTGTAAGGGACGTCATTCACTATACTAAAGAAATTAACATCAAAAGCGTTAAGCTAACAATAGATCAGAAAAAGGCTTCGGAAAACTTTATTGAGATTTTTTATTCTTAGATGGCATTTAAAAGAAATTAAAAGTCATTTTTGTAAACCACATTTTTTTTTTATAATATATATATATATATATATATATTTAATTATATATATAATATTATATATTCAGTATGGAATTATATATTTTTACGACAAATATATTCTGATGATAAATCTGGGCTAAAAAGCCCCAACAAAAACTAAAATAAAAAAAGTATGGTAGGCGTTTGGACGTATTTTCAAGCGATAATAGAGATTCGAAAAAAAAGATGGTGTCCGAGGAAGCGCAAAAAACAGCCAACTACAAACAGCAACGGCCAATTTAACTTTTGTGTGCAGATATAATTTTTTATTTTTGAACTTTCATTTTTTTAGAAATTGTCTAACGGTGTAAAAAAAAGGATATACTCAATTGGCGCTATATGCAAAAAAAAGTCTTTAACTCAGGCTAGAAAAGAAAGGAAAACCGAGATGCATGCCTAATTCTATATTGAAATTCACCCGATTT